GAGCTAGGTGACAATGACTACCTCTGGCCCAAAGTCTTACTGTGAAGGAACATGTAAATATCCTATCTGTCAGGAAGTGATGTGTAAATATTCGTAATTGTCAGAGATCCTCAAGATTTATGGAGAGCAGAGATATTTACTCTGAAAACCTAAAAGTAGGAACTTAAATATTTAAGGTGTTGATAGTCACCATGTGTGTGTACTGAATGAGAGAGGCATGTATTATACTTTGCTGTGCAGTAGTATGTCCCTTCCCACTGGACTGAAGGGCTTGAGATGATAAGAGCTGGATCTTGGTCAGTCACTCATCACTTACACCTGCAAGGTGAGTGCTTAGAGAGAGAATCCAGCTTACCTAGTGATCTGGATAGAATCTTGATTTTCTTACTCATTTAGGTGCTATGTGACCTTGGACAAGTTACTTAGCCTCTCCCACACTGTTCTCCTCCTTTCTCCCTGTAAAGTAGGAGTCATGATTATAGAGATGATCTTCAACCTATGAGAGGATTCATTCCCTATAAAACTATCATAGTTTGAAAAATAAAATGGAGGAACATAAAGTGAACAGATGTAGCAATAGTACTCACTGGACACTATGTTGAAAATGAACTACCCAATTTGTGGGTGAGGAATGGGATGGAAAACCTGGGAGAGATCAAGGGAAGGGGTGATATTGTCCAAAAAGAAATGTAATCTTAATCTGACTTACGTAACTGTAACCCTTCTGTACATCACTTTTATAATAATAAAAAATTTCCAAGAAATAAAAAAAACATTACAAATTAAAAATGCACTTTATGCACCTAATTTACTAAGCATCATGGGACACTGTAGAGCATCATTTGTTTATCTTTGGGCTCCATTGCATGGAGGGGTTGGAACTGCGCTGTGTCTCTAAAGTGTAGGGCCACGTATCTCTAACCTAGTCTAAATTCTAAGTTCAGATATGGTTTCTACTGAATGCATATTACATCACCATTTAGTTGAGAAATAGTCAAACCATTGAAAGTAGGTACTCTTAATTTCAGGCAAACAAAACCTAACATATTTTGGAAAGTCTTTTTCCTGTTGATGTGGGTGTTTTCTCAGCATTTATGTTACCGTTAAATGTTCCAGCTTCTAGTAAAAAGTTTAAATACAGTTTGACAAAAAGAGAAGCATAGAAAACAGACAGGGAAGGCCATCCCTCTCATTTTGTCAACTTCATAATATTGGTTGCTAAAAATAACCCATGTGTCAAATCCCTTTGTACTACTGTGAGAAGTGCTAATGTAAGATGTGTTTGCTGAAAATAACCATGAGGAAGTGTTGTGGATTAAGAGCTTGCTACTGAGTGCTGAATTTCCCTTGTGGGTACAGTAGCTTAGTGCCATAAATTGTTTGGAACACCTACTAGCTTGCCCTTTCAACTCAAACAAGAAACTTTTCTGACTGGGGAAGTTAAAAAATGAAACATCAGATCCATGTTGTATGTGATCCTGATCAGAAAAAAGGCATTACTGGAAAAATTTGTGGCATCTGAATTAAGAGTCTGGTAACTAGTCTTGTATTAATGTGATAGTTTTGATCAATATGTTGTAACTACTTAAGATGTTTCCATTAATCAGGGAAGAATAAAGGGTATAAATAAATCTTACTTTATTTGCAACTCTTTGATAAGTTTAAAATCAATTTTAAAATGAAAAGTTAGAAGAAAAAACCTAAATGTATTTTTTTAAACCCTAAACAAGCTGAGCACTGGGGGCTCATGCCTGCAATCCTAACTGCTCAGGAGGCTGAGATCTGAGGATTGCATTTTTAAGGCAGCTCAGGCAGGAAAGCCCATGAGACTCTGATCGTCAGTTAACCACTAAAAAGATGGTAAGTGGACCTGTGGCTCAAGTGGCAAAGTGCTAGCCTGGAACAAAAATAGCTCAGGGATAGCACCCTGAGTTCAAGCCCTAGGACCAGAAAAAAAAACACTTTAAACATTGTGATTGAAAGCAAATGCTACAAAAATCTTATCTAAGCAGGTGTTGAGGCTAGGGCTTCAGGGAGAGAATTTTACTCAGCTCGATACCATATATGTGCTACATGACTCAAGGGGAAACCTTTAACAATGATTTTGAATAGCCCATCACAAAACAAAACAAGAAAACCTTAATTTCTTTCAGTATAAGCAACCTCAGTTCAAAATATAGCAGCCTAAACTACAAGAGTCCAAATATAACTTTGCTTAAACTCTCATCCTAGAATTGTTTGGTTGGCTTGGAGTATGGGAGAAATTCCTTATATTGCTAAAGAAATTTCATGGGCACCTACATAAATAAATATTATAGAACATGATCTAACTATGAGACTTTGGAAGAATGGATGAGGAATGGAAATATGGGGAAAAAGAGGGAAGGTGAATGATTTGAAAATACAGTGCAACTGTTTATGGAAACAGCATAAGGAATCTCAGTGAATTCTGTTGATGGGTAGGGGCTTAAGAGAGTGGGGAAAGAAAGCAACAAAGAGGGTTATTCTGAGCAAAGCGGAACATGTACATCTGAACTTCCATAGTGAGATTCCTTTGCTACAATTAATACATGCTAAAAAGGAACAATGAATGATAAGAGAATAAAACAAGTTCTGCTGTGAGGGGTAGGTATCTGGGTATCATTTGGAAAGGGGAGGGCAAATAGAGTGAATTAAGTAGAAAGTGGTCAGAGTAGTTTATTTGCATGTATGCAAATAGAACAATGAAATTGTTAAGAAGGGGAGGAGTGATAGTAAAGGTGAGATTGATTGGGATATATTGTATGTAGGTGTGGAAATGTCACAGTGAACCCCCTTGTACAACTAAGGTAATGTTAATAAAATTTGTGCAAAACAATTTTCTCATTTCATCATGGAAATGTCAGTGACATGCCAGTAGGTTCTCTGAATATAAGCAGGTGCAGGGAGGGAGGAATAGTTGAGTCTGTTTTAAAGCAGAAGCTCCTTAGTATTCAATTCTTGTCTGGTCACTGAAACAAATTATCTGAAATGAACTCCTCTGTCAGCTTATATATACACACATACATACATATATACAGAGAGAGAGACAGAGAGAGACAAAGAGAGATGTTTATTACCTAGAAAGCCAATTTTCTTTTTAAAAAGTATTAAAAATGGGCTTAAAAAAAAAAAAACAAAAGAAAACCAAGCTGAACACTGGTGGCTCATATATATGATCCTAGCTACTGTGATCTGAGGATTGTGGTTTAAAGCCAACCTAGGCAGTAAGGCCCATGAAACTCTTATCTCTAACCACCAAGCCCCAGTACAAGGACTAAAGAAGAAGAAAAGGAATGAAAAGGGAGAAAGGCAGACAAAAAGAAAGAAAGAAAACCTAGTTGGGGGATGAGACATAGAGTGAAAGAACAATGGTAACTTTATTCTTAGAAATGCCATGTGTGCTTTTTTTTTTCTTTTTACCAGTCCTGGGGCTTGAACTCAGGGCATGGGCAATGTCCCTGAGCTTCTTTTGCTCAAGGCTAGCACTCTACCACTTGAGCCATAGCACTGCTTCTGGTTTTTTCTGTTTATGCAGTACTGAGGAATGGAACCTAGGGTTTCATGCATGCTACTAGGCAAGCACTCTACCTCTAAGCCACATTCCAAGCCCTCCATGTGTGCTTTCTGTAGTTGTGGTCAGCACATGTACATGCTCTTTTCTGGTCTGCTGAAGACAGCCCTAGCACTATTTTGTATTTGGTTTCCACCTGCACAGTGAACATAATTGTCATCCTCAATGATTATGTAGCATTCCATTGTATAGAAAAGCATGCCAGTTCTTAGGACTGCATTGCTTTTTCTGAGCAGACCTAAAGGCTTGCTTTCTCTTAGCACTAAAGGTCTATTTTAATTTCTGGAAGTAGTGACTAGCATGAGCGTGGGATTCATGGGATTTTTTAGTCATCAGTGCACAGAACAGTCTGGGTGCTTTAACATTGCTATGCCATCACTCCAGCAGAACCCCTCCAAAACCCTAGTCCCCCAAGCTGCTTGAACATGAGTCACACGTTGCTTGGGCATAGAGGCATATGGTCCCTGTCCCATAAACCCTAACACTGAGCTGGTATCCGGAATCTGCTGCCTTTTCCCTTGCTTGATCTACCAGTGCCACCTGTATGTCTTAACAGAACCTGGAGTAAGAGAAAGGGCAAGTGGGAGGGTTGATTGTTGCAGCTGATGAAATAACAGGCAGTGCTGGGAAGTTGTGGCTCTAGTTCTTCTAGGCGTGTCTGTGAAATGAAGTGAGATCAGAGGATGATTTCAAGACTCAGGAAGTTGGGTAACAGCTCTTATTCTCTGCATGTCTTCCTGTCAGATATCCAAGTTTTGGTGTTCCATTAAAGCATTTCTAAGATTGAGTAACAAAGCAGTAAATCCAGGCTTGATCTCTATCCCAGCCATAGTCAATGACATCTTAGGTCTAAGAACACTGGTTGGCAAGATTCTTCAAAGTGAAGTGTTTAGCATACTTCATGATTATCTTGACAGTAGTGACTGCCTTGAAGAGGTGTAATTCCTGGGAGGAAAGAACCATATTCAAAGTTTCCTGGTGTGGCCCAGGCACCAACTCTCAAATCCCAGGTATTTATAGTTAGGTTAGCTATGGCTGGTTTCCGTGCTCCAAACCTAATTTACCACTGGTTTTCCCTTTCCCCTCCCCTCCCCCCGTCCCCTCCCCTTCCCTTTCCTTTTCTCCTTCTCTTACCTTTTCCCTTCCCCTTTTCCTTTCCTCTTTTCCTTTCCTTTCCCTTTTCCTTAGTTTTTAAGTTACTTTTAGTAAATATATTTCATAAACAGAAACCTTTTAACACGACACACAACTCCATAATTAGATGTTTTTATTTTATCAACAATCTTCAGCTATTTACACTGTCATCCCTCAAGTAAAGTGCAATCCAAGACATCTTGACAAGAAATCTTTACAGACAGCAATATATTCTTCAGTTGGTTTTAACAGTGTCCACCTGTTATATTTTCTTTCAATCACCTGAAAGAATAATAAAGTCAACAGGACACAGACATAAACTGGGCTTTGGAGAATCCTATTGAAGAGCCAAATCTCTTCCTCAACCTTTGAGTTAAAATTATTAAAGAAGATACAGAAACAATGGTTGTAATTACCCTGGATTCTCTATATTCTTTTTCCTTTAGGTCTTAGACATTGCTCTTTGAATTGATCTCTACAGATTAAAGAGATACCTTTCAAAATAAAATCCTTAATTTATTTTTAATGTAGAAGCATAGCTTTCTGACAATCTGAGTTCTTCCTTTAGGCAGGTGCTCTACCACCAGAACCATATCTCAGCCTAGAAGTACTTTTTTATGGCAGTGTTGAGGTTTGAATTCAAGACCTTGCACTTCCTAGGCAGGTGCTCTTCCATTTGTGCCATGTTCTTAGTGCCAAGATCTTCCTCCAAATCATGATAATAGTATCTAACACTTAATGGGGTATTTAGAATGCACCATGTATTATGCTGATCATTTTTGAGGTGGATTACTGTTATTTCAGTCGTCACTGGGGGAAATTGCTGGCTCACCAGCATAATGTAGGGTTTGGAAAGTATATTAACAGGCTGTAGCAACAAAATTATGATTCACACGAAAAGTGTTTTTTCTTGTATTTGAATAAAAGTGTATTGGCTTTATGGGAGAATCTTTTAGAAAGTTTTTATGATTGATAGATTCATGTATGAAATTTCAATTGACACTCAGGAGCACATACATTCCACAAATGGAAGTGTGCCAGTATTCAGTTTTTTTAAGTTCAGATGCTTGCTTGCATGTCACTTGTGAAAGCCGTTTAAATGATCTGTTAAACCAAACTGAAATCATTTTTGTATGTCATAAAATATTGTCAATGCCAATGATAAGCTAATTTTTTCACTTGCAAGTTCTTTCATTAGCCTGAAATTCCTGAATGCTAATACCATGCATGCCTTACACATCTTTATGTATTCTTTTTTATTGTTATTATAAAAGTGATGTACAGAGGTCAGGTAATGAGTACATTTCTTTTTGAACAGTGTCACCTCTTTCCTCATTTTCTCCCAGTTTTTTTTTTTCCTTCTGACCGCCAGTATTGTTTTGCTAGAAGTGTTTCACCTAAAATTTTCACCCTGTTCATCTTCCTATGGCACACATACATCCACCCACTTCCCCATTGGCTAAGAATGTGTGTCTGCCTCCTAAACACATATACCATAAGGAAAAATGTGGGTGACCCAATTTTCTTTCATGTTGCTGTTGATTTTTTGAAACAGGGTCTTACCCCATACTGGCCTCCAACTTACATTCCTCCTGCTTCCACTTCCCCAGTCCTAGGATTACAGATGTAAGCCACTTTGCCTGGCTCACTTTTGTTAAGAATCATGTTTTGCTGATTTTTAGTCTGTATAAAATGTGTGTGTGTGTGTGTGTGTGTGTGTGTGTGTGTGTGTGTGTGTGTGTGTGTGTGTGTGTGTGTGTGTGCTAGGCAAGTTGTCCTCTTCCACTGAGCTGTATCTCTAATCCTTCAGAGTGTTTCTTCAGTAGAAGCATTGGCTATTTCCCAGGTGAATGTTTGTCAACAGAATTATCCATTAATATTTTTCAGGTAATTTATAAGAAAGTAGATGGAGTTAGAAGCTTTAAAAAACTCAAGAGAGGCACGGAATTTTGGGACACTGTAGAGCTTGTCTTGGGCACACAGGACATATAGATTGTAAGTAAAGCTTTTCCAGTGACCATGAACCATCTTGGGCAAGTCACTTAACCTACCTCTATCCCAGTTTTTCCATCTAGACTAGGTGTTCTATAAAGCTCTTCCCAACTCTATAGCTACTAACCAGGTTTGTTACCTCCTAATGGGTACTGGGGCACAGTCTCACTTACGTGAACATAGCACTTTTTGTGTCTATGATAGAACTGACTTCATAGGTTTGTGAGGATGAAAGGCAGTATATATGTAAATCATTTAATCAGCCCCTAACAAAACGAAGTCTTCAATGAACCACATCTGCTAGCACTGCTGGTGTGTTTATTTATATCCACATATTTCTCCTGACATGGACATACATATATTTCAGCATTTATATTCCTGGCTGTAGCATTTTATTTCTGGAGAGTATTTGAGAAAGTTTTAAATGGATCTTTCTAGCCTAAAGCAGTTCTGGAGTCCAAAAGTCTTGATTCAACTCTTTGTTTTGCTTTTTTTAAAACAGTATTTTCATCTGTAAAATGCAGTCAAGTGTAATACGTCCACCCAAAGTCTATGTGCTGTGGGGAACAGAGCATTGTGCCTGGCATCCAGAAGGCACTAATCAATTGGAAGTGTGGTGCATGATGGAGGTAATAATAGCAACAATAGTAAAGAACCACCACCAGAGGGATGGGGGAGAATAGTGAAAGGGATGGCATCGATCAAGATGCATTGTACTTATAACTGATATGTGGAATGGTAATTTCTTTATATAACTATTTAAAGATTAAAAAAAAAGACCCACCAACCCAAACTACCACAGCAGCCTAGGAATGGGAGGAGTCAGTGCCTCTAGGTGTTAGGAGAGGGAGCAGCTGCTATTCTGCAAGGGATAGGAAAGCAATTGTTGAGCTTCCCAAACCATGGCTAGGACTCATTTTTGGAGGGGCAAGTAATTACAAATGATTGAGTAGAGCATAATTCACAACAAGAAATCTATTTATTTTGCCTTTCCCTTTACACATACGAACCTTAAAAGTGTTTAAGTAACCCTATACTTCCAAGGCTCAATTTTAGTTGGTCATCAATGACATTTTGTTCACAGGCTTCATCAGGAGCATCTAAGTACAAAGTTAGTCTTTTTTGCCAAGGTTGTATTCATTCTCAAATGGATGCTACTTCACTTAATGAGCCTTTTGGTGAGTATAGGATTACTTGGCTGGCTACAACACTGATGGACAGAAACAATGATGGTTCTCAAGTATGTGGTGATGTAAAAGTAGGTGGACTTGAACGTGGACTGGAGTGAGTTTTCAAAAAGGAGTTAAGAAGCTGAACCCTCCTGCCTGTTGTGGGCTAAACCCATTGCTCAGGGGTATGAGTGTATGAGGTGATCTTTTTGGTTTCCTTCTTTTTTTCTCTGTAGTTGTTGGTTAAAAGTCTAATCAGAGAAAGAAAATAGTCAGTCACTTATAGGCAAAACCAAGTACCAGATTTCCTTTCTAAACCATTTGAGTAGAAGGGTAGTGGCCAATTTCCAACAGGGGTGTAGACTATACTCCACAAGGCACCCATCCATGTCCCAGATTCATACGTTCTCTTACTCTTGCTCTCTTCTCTCTGACCTTTAAGAGTCTGATTAGTACTTAGTGAATACTAACCACAATACTAACTCATAACATCTCTTTGTCCTAGATACCCACTCATTTTGCCCTACTTTCTGAGGTTATGGAAACAAAATCATTTAAAGATAGATTTAGAGGTACCTACTTACATCTAGAAAGATATTTCCTCTTCTTTTTTAATAAGCCAATACTTTTTATTTATTTAGAAAATATTTTATTTGTATACATTAGTTATGCAAGGGAGGTTTCATTGTGACCTTTCTACATATGCATATATTATGTCCCAATCAGTCTCACCCTATCTATCACTCTCCTTAACCCCATTTCCCACACAATCTCAACTGGCTTCATTATTCAATTTTCATACATACAAACTATTTCTGCCATATGCATCCTCATTTACCTTCTACCATATGCATCCTCATTTACCCCCCTCTCTGTTAGCCCAAAGCCCTCCTGGTGGTATCGATCCCTTTAATAGAGCCTATTTCTCTTTTTCCATCTGCCTAACTCCCTATTCAACTATAGTTCTCAGTGAGATTCTTTATGCCACATTCCTATAGTTATAATATATTCCAAAATTCTTCAGTGCCTGCAGCAAGACATTTCTTCCTCTACCCGAGTTGAGTAATTTTTTATTCTTACCCCTTCTATGCAGAGTCCAGAGCCTATTTTGTCCTTGTTGCTTTAGAGAAGTTCTGGTCCCTCCATGTAGGCATAACACCCCAAGGCTCCTGGGTAACCTGAAGGATCAGATTTCTGTCAGAGCTAGGATGACATCATGATATTGACAGTTCATAGTCTTGGTGATTGGGGGTTCTGAGGAGCACTGAGGAGTGACCAACAACAACTTTCAGGTCCTCACAGCTTTATAAGAAATGTTTCTATTGTATTAGGATAAATGGTATCTGCCTATTATAAGAAATTATTGTTTTCTGTTTTTATTGTTGTTGTTGTTGATCATGCGGCTTGAACTCACGGCCTGAGCCCTATCCCTGAGCTTTTTCACTCAAGACTAGGGCTCTACCACTTTGAACCACAACTCCACCTCCAGTTTTCTGGTGATTAATTGGAGTTGAGTCTCATGGACTTTACTGCCTGGTTGGCTTCTTACATAATCCTCATATCTCAGCCTCCTGAGTAGCTAGGATTACAGGCATAAGCCACCAGTGCTTGGGTCCATTTTTGTTTATTAAAATACATTAGTACAAAGAGGATTTCCTTGTGACATTGTCACATATACATATAAAGTATTATAGTCAATCTCATCTCCTCTATCATTCTCTCCTATTCTACCCCCCTTTCTGAAAACAATTTCAGCAGGTTTTATTCTTCTATTTTCAATGTAAATAAATTACATTGACTATATTTAGTCTCTTTTACCCTTCCAATGCTGTCCCCCCATGTGAGCCTGATTTACTTTCTGTCATCTACTCCTTTTTCCCCCCTTGTGTCAGTACTAGGTCTTTATTATTATTATTATTTATTGAAAGGTGATGAGCCGGGAAAGGGGGGGGGGTCACAGTTACATAAGTAATGTAATGAGTACATTTCTTCTTGAACACTGTTACTTCTTCCCTCATCTTCTCTTGCTTTCCCTCCCTGCCACATCCCTCCCCCCAGGTTGTAAAGTTCATTCCCAACTTAGTATCTAGTGAGTATCATTGTGGCATTAGATCATCCTTTGTCCTGCTGTTTCTGTGATTACCTTTCCCTACTATGGATCAGATAAACTTATATACAAGATAAAAGGTACAGAAAACTAAAAACAAAAAAAGTATAATTGTTAACAAGAGGTTCTTATTACGTTCTGTTTGCACTATTGGATCTTGAACACAGGCCTGAACCCTATCTTCTAGCTATTTTGCTCAAGGCTGGTGCTCTACCACTCAGCCTCCTAAGTAGCTAGGATTACAGGTGTGAACCATTGGCACCAGGTTTACTTCTTTTCCTTTAAGTGTGTATTAATTGTAACAAAGGGAACCACTATAGTAGTTTAGATGTGCATATAATATGTTTTGCTCAGAATAACCCTCTCTATTGCTTTCTCTTTTCCTGCCCTCTCAATCTCCTGTTGATCAACACATTTCATTGAAGTTCCTTATGCCACCTTCATAGACAATATTTCAAAGTTATTCACTTGCCATCTAAGAAGTGATATTTTTATAAAACAAAAATCCAAGCTGGGCATCAGAGGCTCATGCACGCCTGTAATCTTAGCTACTCAGGGGGCTAAGATCTGAGAATTGTGGTTCAAAACCAGCCTGGGCAGAGAAACAAAAAGCTGGAAGTGGAGGTGTGGCCCAAGTGGTAGAGTGTCAGCCTTGAGTAAAAAAAGCTAAGGGAGATCACTCTGATCTTTAGTTCAAACTCATGTTCAGAACACACAAAAGAAAAAAATCTAAGGAAGGGCACTTAGGTCTTTTACTTTTTAATAACACCTACTTCATCTCTGCAGAAAAATCACACCTCATATTTTGATGTTGCCCCTCCAAATATCTAGCTATATACTTTATAATGTACAAAAATGACATGTAGTAGAAAAATTTCCATGTCAGCATTAGCCTTTTTTATGTCTCCACTGAATTTGACCAGATGTGATCCAATGTAGCCATTCCTCCTTGTTGCCCATTTACATTGTTTCCATCATTTTCCTTTTCTATACAATGCTATGGTGGAATAACTTCAAGCATAGTTTTTTTGGTACTTATCTATACAGCTCAGGAAATGAGACTATTGCTTCAAATGGCTTCTACTGGGGCTTAAAACCAGAGCCTTGTACTTGTTAGGCAGTTGTGTTCTACCACTTGAGCCATACCCTCAGCCCTTTTTTGCTTTAATTATTTTTGGAGAGGGTCTGTTGTATTTGCTGAGGCCAGATTTGAACCAGCCTTCCTCCTTATAGCTTGTGTAGTTGGGATGACAGGCCTGTACAACTTATTGAGAAGGGGGCTTGCTAAGTTTTTGCCATCCTGGACTCAAACTATGATATTTCTAGTTTCCACCTCCCAATAGCTGAGATTACTAGGCATTATAGGCATGAGTCACTATGTCCAACAACATTTTTAAAAAATGTATTGATGGGCTGGGAAGGTGGCTCAGTGGTAGAGTGCTTGCCTTGCATGCAAGGCCCTGGGTTCGATTTCCTAGCACCACATAAGCAAAAAGAAAAAAAAAGCCAGAAGTGACGCTGTGGCTCAAGTGGTAGAGTGCTAGCCTTGAGCTGAAGAGCTGAGGGACAGTGCCCAGGCCCAGAGTTCAGGCCCCACGACCGGACCCAAAAATAAAAAAATAAAAAAATGAGAGGAGGGATGGGGAGAGTCAGTTAAACCCTCTAAAATGTCTGTACCAATCTGTACTTCCACTACTGTCAATGATAACCTTCAATATAACCCTACAGTAGCAGAAAGATGCTAGAGTATCACATTGGCTGAGCAGAAACTGATCCCTAGGCACTCTCCCTATACTTTTCCTTATAAGTACCAATCATAGTGTGAGAAAAGACTTTCAGGCTCAAAATAGGACTTCTATTGTAGAAATTGGGAAGGAAGCCTATATAACTTTTCTTCTTTTATCACTGATTTAACATTACCTTCAAAAAGATTGTTTTCAACATATTGCACTGGTGCCCTTAATTTGTTACGTTGTTTGCAGTAAGGCTCAATATTGTTCAGAACTCTATTTCCTTTGGAACATTCACCTGCCTTCATGGGTTCATCCAAAGCAAATGTTACTGATATATTTTTTTTGGGCCTCAATCGTAGACCATCTTTCTGTACAGCAAGAAGATGGGGGAAATAATCATTCAGTGCTCAAGAGTTCAAGGATTAACCTTGGGAAATAATGTTTAAGGAGCCATTTATTTACCTGTAGGATTGACTTTAGTGGTCTAGCTTCCTTTGTGCATTGTCCTAAATGCTGTCTTTTCTCAAAATGCTGTCTTTTCTCAAAATGTTGTCTTTTCTCAAAATGTTGTCTTTTCTCAAAATGCTGCCTTTTCTCTTTAGACATTCCCACTCTGGCAGGGAAGCTGGAGAAGTTTGGAAAGACAAAGCAGTAGTAGAAATACACAGTTCAGTCTTCTTAACATACTGAAGCTACTACACCATTCCTGTTAATATGCCTTTGGACAATGAAAGTAACAACAGAGCAAGAGGACATTAGGCTTTTACTCCTCAAAACCTTCATAATCTTTTGTTTTATTTTTCTGTTTCTTCTTTTCATCATTTCATCTTTTCCCTTATGCCTCATTATTGGGAGGATCAGAGAACTAGTGGCTAAGAACATGAAGGGAGCTCTATGATATCCATGCAAAGAATAAAGCCAATAGGCCTCCTTAAGGGACTTGTGTTCCTTTTTTTCCTGCACATTGCAAGCCAGGGAACAGAAGCCCTGTTTTGGAGAAATTGTAATGCTGTTAGGTTTTCATTACCTTTTTGTGATTCTGCTCACTGGTGTGACTACTTAAGTTGTGTCAGGGTAAGAAGTGTACCTGTCCATGTTGGAGTGTTGGTAGCCATTGCTTTCCCATTTGGGTTGTTTGATCCTGAATGAGTTGCTCAGTGCTAGGCAGAGGTCAAGCATCTCCCACAACCTCCTACTCATTTGAATATTGACTCCTGATTCTACTCTTATCAGTAAATCTAATGGAGCCAGCTTAGTACCTATCTGATGTACATCTTTCTCCAGAGGCTCTGGTATTCTTGCAAGATGGTATGCTCATAGTAGATACTTGTTTGTGAGTATATATCTCCTCATATTTATTTCCAATGGCAGCTAATAGCCAGCGTAGACCTGAAATTATTGATTGATAGTTTCTCCTTTGGAGGTCTTTGGTGACTGAACATGGCTCCTGTGACAAAAAAAGAAGGCCTCAGACCTGGATCCCAGGACCCCTGGTCCCCACAGGCCTGATCACTCTCATCTAAACAGCAGAGGTACACAAGTTGTACTGTGCCTAAATAGGGTCTACCCCTCTTAGGAATCATGCAGCAACTATATCTGAGAAAGTAGATAAATGTATCAAAAGCTGAGGTCTTTTTTTCATGTGTGCTGATCCCGGGGCTTGAACTCAGAGCCTGGGTGCTGTCACTGAGCTGTTTTGCTCAAAGCTAGCACTCTACTATTTGAACTACAGCTCCATTTCTGACTTTTTGGTAGTTAATTGGAGATTTCCTGGTAGTTAATTAGAGTTTCAAGGACTTCCCTGATGGCTTTGAACAGTGATCCACAGATCTCAGCCTCTGAATAGTTAGGATTATAGGTATGAGCCACCAGTGCCCACTGGGCTGAGATCTTCTAGTAAAGTGTTTTTGGTGTCTTGGATTAACTATAACCTTGAGCAAGTCACTGAGAGTCTCTCAGCCTCTATATTTCTTATCTATATAATGAGGATACAAAAATTTCCAACTTTATATTGCTGTTTTGAAGGCAGAGTGTTTTGCAATTAGAAATCATCAATGTACATGATGCCCAGCATGGAGCGTCTTTTGTTTTCCATAAGGGGCTGATTAGGGACTGGGCCAGGTCTGCATCTAGCAGGCCCTATAAAATAGGGAAGGAAGGTGTTGACACTTACCACTCGGGACATGGATTTAGTCTCATTTACTAGCCTTTCCAGAAGTAGAAAATCAATAATATCACAAGGCGACAGAGCATCCTTCTTGTCTTGTTTGTTTGCTAGGCTAGAACAGGGCATAAAGGAGAGGGAAGATAGAAAAAAGGAAAAGTGAAACCAAAATAGAAGCAAAGGTCTAGAAGAGAAGCTCTGATTCTAATTTAGCTGCTACATATCTAGGAATTAGGTTTCAAGACATTCAAATGAAAGGAGCTAGAAAAAGTTCTAGTCAACTGTCAGTGGAGGAAATAATAGCATAAATGACTTGAATCACTAAGGTGCATTTTTCACTTCCCTCGAATCACTTGTGATATGAACAGATTTGAGTTTTTACATCTTCTCTCAAACTCTGTTCATGCTATTGTTGGGGTTGTTAATGTAGAATGAAAAAGGCATAAAGGGAGTTTAGATGTAGTGAGGATGGCCTGACCACCTGAATTCTCACCCCACAATAAGTGCCAGTTATGTAACTCAAGCAGCCTCCTAAAGGAGGAAACCATTGGTACCGATTATATGAAGTAGTGTTTGTTCTCTGAAGTAATGACTTTTCTGAAACCAGAAAAGATAAGAAGCAAATTCAGGAAAGGAGTGTTCAGGAAGAGTCAAAGGTTGATGATAGGAGATTCAATTATCATTTCTCTTTGATGCATACCTGCAAAATGATCTGTGTACATTTAATTTACATGTCCCACATGGTAGCATATGGTATAAAGTGGCTCTTGTAAACAGTCCCTAAAGAACCTAACTGAGCCCAAGGGGACCACCCAGCCCTTAATCTCTGTACTTCTCTTAAGGTACAAATTGGGAAGGGGAAGTAGGACACAAAGGCATAATCTTACAGTAAGATGGGTTTCCCTGCCACTCTTTTATCAAACATCAGACGTGTTAAGACGATCTTTACTTCCTGCATGCGTCTTAAGTCAGTAGAATCCAGGACAAAAATAAATCCATGTGCCTGAGCATAGTAGTTTGGCCATTTATCTCGGCCCCTTAGGTCTCCAATCAGATCGTAGATGGATACTTCATACTCATCAAGCAGGAGTGTAGTCAGTGATGGTTTTATACTGTTTTGTGTCTTGCTGGGAAGTACTACACATAGGGACAGAGAGAAGCAACCACAATGTGGAGAAATATAGTTACATCAGTTTTGTTGATCCTTGCCTCGATCCTGCTCTCAAAAATTCTAACCAAGTTTCCTAACATCTTGCTCATACACATATATGTATTCTTCTATACCATGACTGTACCACACTACCTTCTCCAGGTTTAGTGGCTTTTAGTGTTGTCCACTTCTCCTAGGAGAAAATGCAGACTTTACATCCAAAACCTATCAGACCTGTCTCCTGATGCTTCAACCTGATTGGTGACCACAATGTTCCTGGTTCCCATCCAGTCTATTCCTTCCTATATTCATTTGCCCCTCTTCCCTCACTCTACATTTACGCATGCTCTTTTTTGCCCTTGGCCTGCACCAGCTGCCATTCTCTCCATTATTCTGTGCTTGGTTAATGCCTATTTTCTCAAGTAAAAATTTAGATCTTGTTTATTCCAGAAAGTTTTCCCTCATACCCCCATCCTCAGTCCAGATATCTTTCTTCTAGACTTAACATTATAATAAGACATATTACAGTGTTGTAAGTTCTATGATCTCCTTCTACTTACTAATAAACTTTAATAGGAAAGGGGATATTTTAATACTTTATTTATTTATTTACTTATATATTTATTTGGTGGTCCAGGGTTTGAATTCAGGGCCTCATACTTGCTAGGCTTGCTTTGCTGGTGCACTACCACTGGAGCCACACCTCTAGCCTATAGTTTACTGGTTATTTTTTGAGATGGAGTCTTGTGGACTTTTCTGTTTTGTTAGTTTTGAACCTCTAGCTATGTGCCAGTGATTCACACCTAAAATCCATTTGTTCAAGGCCCAACTTGAGTACCACTTTCCCTCTTGAGTACCACTTACCCCCTCCCTCTCTCTCTGTGAGTCCTGGGTCTTGAACTCATGGCCTGGACACTGACCCTGAGATTTTTTTGCTCAAGGCTAGCTCTCTGCCACTTCCAGGTTTTTGGTGGCTACTTGTGGACTTTCCTGTTGGCTTGGAACTACCATCCTCAATTCTTAGCCTCCTGGGTCTCTAGGATTATTGGCGTGAGCCACTGGCACCTGGCTTTTTCTCATTTTTATTTTGACTCCTTTTATTTTGGCTGCTTCTCTACCCTGCTGCCCTTTACTTTCTTACCTATCAGAGAATTGGGAGAGGCAGAAGTGCCAATGAATGTACCATAAAACATGAGGACTCAAATTTGCTGCCTTTAAGGGGGGTGCTAGGCTGAGCCACTAGCTAAAATGTGGCTCTTGGAGCTCCTCTTGGTGGCAGGTAGGAAATGGAAAGACTTGGAAAAAATTATATTAAGTGAAATAAGCCAGACCCAAAGAAACATAGGTCCCATGGTTTCCCTTATTTGCAATAACTATTATATGTCTAGGATAATCTTACCAGACAAGCAGAAAAGGTCAAAAGCTATATAAGATGATGCTAAGCAAAATGAACCCCAAGATAGGGACATAAAAGGTTTTATCCTTGTTGCTGTGATTTTTTTTTTGTTTCTTTTGTATGTTCTTCCCCCATGGTATAACCCCTATTGTCACTGTATTTGATTCCAGTGCCCTGCATCATATATATATATATATATATATATGTATATATATATATATACATATATATATATATATATGTATATATATATATATACATATATATATATATATATTTCAAATTTGAGGAGGGGAAGGGAAATAACAAAATGCTGAAACAAGGATACAGCTCGACCCATTGTAACAATGAGATGTACAAGACACTATGTTGAAAACAAACTTTGCAACTTGGAGGGAGGGAGGAGTTGGGGAGGTGGGGAGGGAAGGAATGGTAGGGGAAAAACAAAGGAGGTGGTAATAATGCTCTGAAGGAAAAGTACTCATTACCTTACTCATGTAACTGTAACCCCTCTGTACATATACACATTATATATATATATATATATATATATATATATATATATATATGAAAAGGCAAAAGGAGAGAAAGAAAAAAGAAGAATGTATAAAACAGCAGCTTGTAGTGTCAAGGGAATGGTGGAACTGAGAACTGAGGAGAACACTCATTCCACAAATATATATTATCTACCTGAAGATACTAATAGTACAGAGGATAAAGATACACAGATGGAACAATCTACTACTTCTCAAGATCATAGGAGTGGGGAATCTTTTTTCTGCCAAGGGCCATTTGGATACTTATAACATTATTCACAGGCCATACAAAATTATAAATTCAGGAAGATGGCTGAAGACATCCAACAAACATCCAAAAATCATACATGTCTGTCCCATCATGTACCAAATGATTTTGTGGGCCTTATATGAGCCTATTCTCCTAAACGTGAAGAGATGTGTCTGCAATTGTGCAAAGATGCATACTAGCGAGAAGAGTGTGGGATCAAGTGAAGAAGCACTGGGAGTTGAGGAGGCTTTCCTGTAGTTAAGTTTGTGCTGTGTCTTGAGGTGAGTGATTCAATAAGTATCTGAGAGTCTGAAATGCTAGGAAGTGGTGTTACAGAAGTGTAGCACGTGGATTAGAATGCTATGGTGGCAGGGAAATGACAAGGAATTCATGTTGATTGTATCTGAGGACATACGTGGGGAGAACAGGAAATTAAGCTAAAAGAGGGGGTAGGAACCACTAGAGGCCTTGGTGCTGCTAAGGAATGGATGTTTTATTTTGAAGATAATGGGTAGTGCTGGGTGCTCATGGCCCACAGTTGTAATCCTAGCTATTCAGGAGGCTGACATCTAAGTATTGTGGTTTGAAGCCACCCCAGGCAGGAAAGTACATGCAATTCTTATTTCCAAGTAATTAGCAAAAAATGTGGAATTGAAGGTATGACTCAAATTGTAGAGTGACAGCATTGAGCAAAAAAGTCAAATGAGAACATGAAGCCCTGAATTCCATCCTTAATACCAGCACAGGAGGTGGGGCGGGGGTGGGGAGGGAGAGAATAGGAAGGCATGGAAAAATTTTGAGTGGTTCTGGGCATAGAGGGAACAATTGGAGATGGCAAGGCCAACCAAAAGGCCACTGCTATAGTTCAAGAAAATTGAGAGGGTCCCAGGTAGTCCAGGAGCAAAGCAAACAGGTCAGCCCTTTCCTGTACTTTGCTGAGGGTTGTACGGTGATATGAAACTCAGCCATGTCTCATACCTTTTCATTGAATAAACACTGATGGAGGTGTCCTCTGTCAGACATGGTGTTGGCTTTTGATTCACTAGCAGTTACCAAGGGCTTCACAATAGCTCCCTGAAATTCTGTGCAACTGCTTCTTGAAATGTCAAGCTATTAAAGTGGAGATGTGGTATTAAGCTTACACATCTCTGAACTGACAACATTTCTCAAGTTCCAACTTGCTATATTAGCTGTCACAAAGTCTTTCATGTTATTAAACTTCTTTATTATTTCACACTGTCTCTTATCTAGACCAAATTCCACTTTAATTGAGTTGTGGAACTGACATCATTTGAAAACATCCTTCATAATTGACTGCAATTCTTTACATAGTTGGGCACACTCATTTTGACACCACGAGAAGACTCAATTAGGATGTCCCTTAAGGGAATGTATGACAGACATTATATAAACAGACTGTTAATACGCAAGGAGGGGACTGTTTGTATTAAGAGGTGCTTATTCTCAAAAAGAGTGAAACTAAGGGCTGCAATGCAAGGATGGACTAATTGTCTCATTGAACCTTAAGAGAACCACAATAGTATCTAATGGTCTTATTTCTCACATCTTTGAAAGGCATCCACAAGAGCACTTTTGCCAGAATTGTTCAAGCCAACAACAATGATAGTCACATTCCTGGAAAAGGAAAAACAAAATGAGCCAAAGTCATAAAAGCACTATTAATTTTTAGACTGGAAAGTTCTATTCCCTAGTGTTTGAAGTTTGGCCTACAGTAGTCCCAATGCACGTATCGTAAAATGCCCAGCCAATGTGGTAGTAGGTGGTGTGGGAACCCCTCCCCAAACCTCAAAGGATGCTTTTCTTGTCTGACTCACTTCCCTTGAAGGATTGACATCCTCCTTGTACTCTGTTCCCAATCCTACAGATGCTGTTGAATCACTTCCCAACTATATCATGCTCATTTGTGTCCCTTGAGGGACTGTGGGCAGATACACAGGATGAGGTGGTGGGATGGGTCTAGAGAAATCATTGTTAACATCACCTTGGTCTAGTTTCATTTGTTTTTAGCAGGGACCAGCAGGCGGAGAGTAGCCGGAACATGATTCACCTTGGTTCATAAACATTAAAGGAAAAAAGCAAATGAGAAATCAAGCCCATTATAAATTATGTCAGCTTATACTTACACAGATGCTGTTAATTAGAAAGCCTGAGACTGTTAGAATTCCTTATCTATAAATGTCATAGACAGGTTATCCTCAACGCCAGTGACAGGTTTTATTTTATTGTTCTTTCAGTGACAGGTTTTAATATGTAGCTTCCTATGAAACAGAATGACTTGTTATTAAAGCAACCCAATCTGGTGAGGCCTATTTCTTTAGCTGTAGTTCATTCCTTCTAGGAATATCTTTATTCAACCTTGCAGGAGTGCGTGATTGATCATTGTAGAACAGTCTAAGGTTTTGTTGATTTGAGCTGAGTCCTTGCTGTGTAGCCCAGGCTGACTTCAAGCTCACAGTTTTCTTTCCTTTGCCTCCCAAGTGCTGGAATTACTGCTGTGTAGTAATTCTAAATGAAGCATAGGTTTTAGACCAAGCCCCAGTCCCAAGGCTGGGGATATGGATCAACTGGTAGAGCATCTGCTTAACAAGTGTGAGGCCTTGTCCTCAAACTCCAGTACTACCAGGGAAAAAAAGACTTATTGGACCTGTTCTAAGTAACATCTTTGTGTTGGGCTTGGTTATCTTATTGCCTCCACTTCAAAGGGGTGCTCCATGTAGTTGTAGAGCTGTAAGAGACCATAGACATTATCTAGCCCAAAGGATATCAAACATTAATCTAGGTGCCCTTCTCTCAGAGATTCCCAGGGGGTTGTACAAGTTCCCCCAATGTTTCAATGTGCAGCCAAATTTAAAAGTGACTACCTAAGTAAAAAGGGTAAATTAGGCAGTTGCATGAAGGTTCATCATGTTTTAACATGTATCAATACTTCATTCTTTGTGATAGCTGAAAAAATTCCATTCTATGGATAGTTCACATTTTAACTTTCCACTCATAAGTGGTAGGTTATTTGTATATAAGTATCTGTGTGGACATATTTTTACTTCCTTTGGGTCTAATTTCTGTGTTATTGTAACATATCGATGGTTAACCTTACCAGGAACTTCAAGACTATTGTGCAAGATGACTATAACATTTTACATGCACACTAGCAATTTAGGACAGTTCCAATTTTTCCATATTCTCTCAGACACTGTCTTTTTGTCCATAGCCATCCTAGTGAGTATGAAAGAATACCTCTCTGTGCTTTACTTTAGATTTCCAGTTCCCTAATAGATAATTATGTTGGTGTCCAGAGTTGCAGGAAGATTTGGTTGGGTTAGGAAATTACTTCAGGTGATACTTAGATGGGCTTTACTATCTGATGAGCAGTTTATGTGACAAGTTAGTAACAGGTAACTTGGCAAGTGTCTGTGGAGTCATCCAGTCATCTAGTGTTAGAGAATTGCCATTTCCAGAGACTCACATTTCATAGCATTTCTTAGAGCACAGCTTACTCCCTATGAAGTTATTCAGCTTCCACAAGGACCTCCTGGAGAATTGCTCTTGTGTATGCTAGACAAAAGGGAAATCTTGTATGTGTCTTTGATCAAAACACTAGCCTTACTCATCAGGCTGAGAAGATATGGAGTCTGAAACATCAGTGGCTCATTGTTCTGGTACCCTGATAGTTATCTCCCATTTACTAGAGGTTGAACTCGGCCACTTGAGCCACTAAGCCACATCCTCAGTCCTTTTAGCTTTAGTTAATTTTCAGATAGAGTCTTGTGTTTATGCCTGGGCTGTCCTGGATTGATACTATCTATTTATGCGTCCTGAACTGCTAGGATGACATGTGTTTGTCACTATGTCCAGGTACTGATTGAGATGGGGTCTCATTGTTTTTTTTTTTTGCCCCTGCTGGCCTTGAACCTCCACCCTCCTGATCCCTGACTCATGTAACTGAGATTACTGGTGTGAGCTGCCACCTTCACTTGGCTTTATGCCTGTTGATCATTGGTGGAGCTTCCTAGCTTGATATTTGCCATTGACACCAAGAAAGGTCAAATTGACAACACACGTTTTCGAGAGTAGGTAGGATAACCAAGAGAACCACCTAAATTACTATCCTTCCTGGATAGTCTGAGATGAAATCACCTACACTTAGGCCTACCACTTCTACCACTTTAAGAATTCGTATCTATAATATGAAGATAATTTTTCTTACCTGGAAGTAACTAATTATTTATCTGATAAGAAGTTGGTTCTTCTTGGTTTAAAGCCATAAACTATGTAGAACAAACGAAGGCTCATTGAGCTTTTAAGCTTTCTTACTAGACTAAGACAGTCCAGTTGTCCACCTTAAAGGGAAGGCAATTTTCTAATAATGGCTTTCAAGGTTCTAAGGTGTCTATGGTAACCACTAACTGGTCCTTAGCAACCAAACTACATCACCTTGTTCTGTGCAATGATAGCTAGTTACTAAATGAACTTTTAGCCATATTTTTTATTTCTTTGACAAAATATTTAGGATTTACTATGTGCTAGTGCATGACAAAGTAGGAAAGCAGGGACAGTGATTTTTTTTTTTTGGTGCCAGTACAGGAGTTTGAACTCAGGGTCTGGGTGCTGTCCCTCAGTTTTTTTTTGGGGAGAGGGGTTGCTCAAAGTTGGTGCTCTACCACTTGAGTCACAGCTCCACTTCTAGCTTTTTGCTGTTAATTTCAGATAAGAGTCTCACAGACATTCCTTCCTGGGATGAACTGAACAATCCTCAGATCTCAGCCTCCCAAGTAGCTAGTATTCCAAGTGTGAGCCATTGGTGCCCAGAAGGACATTTACTTTTAAGAGATGAAGTGCAGAGAGGTGAGCAGCTTCACATAAGTTACCAGGCTAGTGGCTTCATGGTCTGTATATTAGGTCAGTGGTCCCACAGGCCAAGAGAGAAAAGAGCAGAGGTACCAGCTAAACTGTCTCTGCTGTGCACCCCACCATCTCCTCCTTTTCCATATTGGATCATACTTATATTTTTTGTGATCTTTTAAAAAATGAAATTAATTTTAAAATGGAGTTAGATACACAGAAAACTTGTACAAATAGTACAGATAGATATGTTACAAAGCAGATGGCTGGGGTTCTCTCCCTTTACCTCGGTAGAAGTGATGGTTAGGTGAGGAGTAGCTCCTTCAGATATTCCTGGCAACTTTGTAGAGTGAAATAGGTGGCAGTGGGCAACAGCCATCATCTAGAGCAGCCACACAGAGTTTGAGGCCCTGTGTGTGTTACAGCTCTCTCCTGTGGTGAGAGGTATCTTTTTTTGCCACCCAATCTAGACCAACCTGCCAGTTTTCTCTGTTGCATGCTGCTGCTTGTTCTTACTAGGTGGCCACTGCTTCTCTTCTCTTCCTCTGTTATTAGCTCTTGAGAGCAGGACCTGGTTGGAGTGACTTTATCTCCCAGCTGCTCACAAAGTTAGTTAAGCAACCTGTTTATATAATACACAGAGAAGGGGGGGGGGACAAGAATTACTACACCAATCTGAGCCATCTACTCATATTTGGACCAATCATAATTCAGTCCATTATGCAAATGATGCATTGTATCTACCAATGATAGTACAGTTCATTATACAAATGAAAGGGTTTGTCTGTCCCTATTGTGGTTATTATGCAAATGAAGAGTTTGTTTTTTACCAATCACACCCTGATATGCAAATGAAGGTTTTTGTTTTATCCAACCATGATTTTCTCTTGGACTGAAGTATCATTTCAACTCTTCTCACCTTCTCAGCTTAGGTAAAAATGACAGTACAAGCTGCTTTCTAAGTAGTGCCTTCTGGAGCTGGTATTGGGTTTTTGGTGCTGGCATGAGGGCAGTCCAGTTGCCTGATTGACAGTAATTTGCTCAAGGCAACCAGAGCCTCCCAAAAGGGTCTAATAGCTGTCAATTAAGAAATTATGTCTCTATAGCCCAAACAAGTTAGCACATTTAAAGGAAAAAAAAATCAGTTACAGTAATTTAAAAATATTTGTCACAGAGGGAGTGAGATTAATTAAAATACATTGTAAACATGTGCAGAAGCCAGGTACCAATTGCTCATGCTTGTAATCCTAGCTACTCAGGAGGCAGAGACCTGAGAATCTCAGTTCAAAGCCAGTCTGGGCAGATAAGCCTGTGAGACTCGTATCTCCAGTTAACCACAAGAAAACTGGATATGGTACTGTGGCTCAAAGTGGTAGAGTGCTAGCTTTGTGTGAAAAGGCTTAGAGACTGTGTAGGCCCTGAGTTCAAGCCCCAGAACTGACCAAAAAGAAAAAATACCCGTATATGGGATGGTTACAAAGAAGTTCACCCCTGTCATATACAAATGCTAGAACTAAAATACACTGGGATATGATAAATTATACAGGACTCTAGACATTCACACACAGTGAGACCAAAGGAGGATTCTCTTAGGAGAGGAACTCAAAGGTGTTGCCTATGTGTATCTGATCACATAAAATAATATTTATTGGGGCTGGGAATGTAGCTTAGTGATAGATGCTTGCCTAGCATGCATGAAGACCTGGGTTGGATTCCTCAGTACCACGAAAACAGAAAAAGCCAGAAGTGGCACTGTGGCTCAAGTGGTAGAGTGCAAGCCTTGAGCAAAAAGAAGCTCAGGGATAGTGCCTAAGCCCTGAGCTCAAGCCCAGGACTGGCAAATAATAATAATAATAATTATTATTATTATATGTTGTACAATATATAATAATAATTATTATTATTATTATATGTTTTATAATATATAATAATAATAATAATTATTATTAAAATGAATTCCAGGAAATGGAAACAAGATTTTTTTCTTCATTGTCATTTTTGTTTCTTTTCTTTTTGTCTTGTCTGTTTATCTTTTGGGGGGAGGGTAATAGGAGGTATATAGAAATGATGGGACAGCAGATGAACAAATGCAGCAGTGATACTAGAAACTATGTTGAAAGTGAAGTATACAATTGTGGGTGGGGGGAAAAAAACAAAAACAATTGTGGATGTGAATGTGAGGAAAAAACTGGGAGAGAGAG